AGCCTCAGGGGGGCCCTGGGGTGGCCGCCTCCTGGCCCCCCAGGGGAAGAGGCTGGCCCTGGGCGTACATACCGGGTCGCAGGGGCGGCCGGGCCCCCTGCTGGGCCGGGCCCGGTCGCAGCCGCGACCCCTGCGACCCTGGTATGTACGCCACTGCAGGTGGTCCACTACAGTCACCAAAACAATTTTAGCTTAATGAAGTAGTTTTGGTGTACATATCAGCTCCCTGCAGTCTCATTCCTAAATTCTCTGCTATTTAGGAAATAAATCAATTTGTTTATGCAGCCCTAGTCACACCTACCTGCATGTAACTTTCACAGCATTCCTGTAAAGAGAGATTTATGTTTAAACTTTCTTTATTGCACAGTCTGTTTAACAAATAATTTATCCTGCTCTGTTAAAAGCCTTCCAGAGTACGCAGGAGCCTTCTGTGTGTGATTAATGTTCAATTTGCAGAGCATGAGATAACTTTTAAAGAAGGTTAAAATCTGATTAAAAATAAAATTATTTTGTTTCATACAGGTTGTGTACATCTCAGCCAAGGAGGCATGGCTAGGGCAGCATAAACAGAAACAAAAGGCATTTAACTTCTAAATGGCAGATAATTCAATGGTGAAACTGCAGGGGTATGATCTTTACACTAAAACAGCATCTTTAAGTTAAAATTTGGTTTTGCAACTAAAGTGTCCTTTTAAATATAGCTTGACTTTTTTTTTTAAAACGTATTTTATTGCAAAAAGAGGTTTAGTGTTACTTTAATATAAGGAGTTGAATCTTACACAAGGACCAGTCCCATTCACTGTACAAAAAAGGCTAGTTTTAGTATACGGCAATCTAGGAGCAGGGCCGGACTGGGAAAAAAATTAGGCCCGGGCATTTTTCAATCAAAGCAGCCCCCTAAGAAGGGGGCGGGGCCAGAGAGGGTGTGTTTTGTCATCACTAATGACAAACACGCCCCCTCTCAAAGTGAGCATGTTGGATCAATGCGCAGAGCTCCGCTGAAGAGCTCTGGCATTAGAAAAAGGCCCTGTATTTGTTCTGCGCAGCGCAAGCAAATTTAATAACATGCTTGCACTGTGTTTGCTTTTAAATCGTCTCTGGTGTCTCCATAAGTGGGATACCAGAGGACAAAAGGGCCAGGACAGTGTATGGTACATGTGTTTGGAGCCTGCTTGTGGGATTGCGTGTGTGTAGAGTGTGGTGTGGTATTGTGTAAATAGTTAAATTTAATTCGTGTTTGTGGTGTAATATGTGTGGCTAGGGGCTGTAGAGTGTGCGTGTATAAGGGGCAGAGTGTTATAGGGGATGTAGCGAGTGTGTGCATATGGGCTGTAGTGTGTGTGTATAGGTGACGTAGTGTGTGTAGGGGTTGTAGAGAGGGTGTGTTTAGAGAATGTTGTATGTGTTTGCTTACAAGGAATGTAGTGTGTAGGTGGTGCAGTGTGTGTGTGTGTGTGTGTGTGTGTGTGTAGGAGATCTAGTGTGTAAAAGGACCCAGAGTGTGTATAGAAGATTGTGTGTGTATGTGTGTGTGGATGATTAAGAGTATATATAGTGTAAGGGATCTAGCGTGTATCTGGAGCGTAATGTGTGTAGTGGTGCAGTGTGAGGGATGCTGTAGTGTGTGTGTGTGTGTATATATATGTAATATATATATTTGGACTATTGTATGTGTGAGGGGCGCAGTGTGTGTGTGTGTGTGTGTGAGGGTGTTTTTACCTGCCGTCACATTCTAGGTTTCTAATTTTCTTTGTTAACTCACTGAGGGTTATTTTATAGATACATACATATATATGTATGTGTGTGTGTGTGTGCTGTATATGTGGGAGTGTGCTGTGGGTGAGTGAGGATGCTGTGTGTTTAAGGGTGCTGTGTGCGTCTGAGGGTGCTGTGTGCGAGTGAGGGTGCTGTGTGAGTGATGTTGCTCTCTGTGTGAGTGAGAGTGCTGTGTGTGTCTGAGGTTGCTGTGTGTGTATCTGAGGGTGCTGTGTGTATCTGGGGGTGCTGTGTGTGTCTGAGGGTGCTGTGTGTGTAAGGGTGCTGTGTGTGTCTGAATGCTGTGTTTGTGTGTCTGAGGGTGCTTTGTGTGTCTGAGGGTGCTGTGTGTGTCTAAGGGTGCTGTGTGTGTGTAAGGGTGCTGTGTGTGTAAGGGTGCTGTGTGTGTAAGTGTGCTGTGTGTGTCTGAGGGTGCTGTGTGTGTCTGGGGGTGCTGTGTGTAAGGTGCTGTGTGTGTCTGGTGGTGCTGTGTGTGTCTGAGGGTGCTGTGTGTGTGTGTCTGAGGGTGCTGTGTGCCTGAATGCTGTGTGTGTCTGAATGCTGTGTGTATGTCTGATGGTGCTTTGTGTGTCTGAGGGTGCTGTGTGTGTAAGAGTGATGTGTGTGTAAGAGTGCTGTGTGTGTAAGGGTGATGTGTGTGTAAGGATGTTGTGTGTGTCTGGGGGTGCTGTGTGTGTAAGGGTGCTGTGTTTGTCTGGGGGTGCTTTGTGTGTCTGAGGGTGCTTTGTGTGTCTGAGGGTGCTGTGTATGCAAGGGTGCTGTGTGTGTCTGAATGCTGTGTGTGTGTGTCTGGGGGTGCTGTGTGTGTAAGGGTGCTGTGTGTGTCTGAGGGTGCTGTGTGTGTCTGGGGGTTCTGTGTGTGTAAGGGTGCAGTGTGTGTAAGGGTGCTGTGTGTGACTGGGGGTGCTGTGTGTGTCTGAGGATGCTGTGTGTCTGTGGGTGCTGTGTGTGTGAATTAATTTTTTATCTAAATGTATATATATATATATATATATATAAAATTATAAAAAGGTTATATCCCCCTCCCTTCTTACCTTTAGCCTGGGAGGGGGGGGGGAGCTGTTCTGCCATGCAAAAGGGTGCTGCCTTCCCTGGTGGTCCTAGTGGTGAGAGTTCACTCTCGCGAGATCTAAGCGTTGCCGACAACGCTCAGACCTCGTGAGAGGACCCGGTGGAGCTGCTAGCTAGAGCTCCGCCGGTCCTCTCCTCCCTCCCTCACTCCCCAGCAAGCGGCCGCATCTCAGTGAGCACACCGGCCCACGAAGGCATACAGCGGGGCCAGCGCTCGAGATCCTGTGATCTCCCCTGCCTGCGTCGGCCCATGGCCATCGCAGCCCATCGGGCATTTGCCCGGTATGCCCAATGACCAGTCCAGGCTTGGCTAGGAGTGAAGCAGGGAAACCATAGAGACTAAATGTCAGATTCAAACACTGTCTGACCCAGGGTGTAAGTATATGGCTGAAAGATCCGGTAATACACTAATGGTAGGGATGAGTATTTCTCAATTTTGTTTTACATATACTTCATGTAAATGTCACAAAATAGCCTTGAGGTGACAGTTGTCCTTTAATGCCAGAAATGCAGCAGGCATTTTTATTATTTTTTGTTAATATCTTAGCAATCTCCTAGCTGACATGCATTGTCTCAGCTATACAAAGCGTCTCTATGGGTATTAGCAGTCCTGTAGTATGAGAGCATTTGAATGGGTTTTATTGTCACGAAGAATGATATGAGCGTTAATGACAGGTATTTTGCAATTCTAGGAGTCTGCAGGAGACATAGCATCATACCATATCATCCTGTAAACTGGGAGATCGGTTTCAACGCTAAGCTCTCAGCTGATACAACACTGTGCAAACAGTAATACAAACTAGAAATACCCTTTTATTAAAACATTTATTAATTACACTTCAGGTGTTGGGACCTGAATCACAGGGATCAGCGTAAGTGCTGAACAGTTTTTAGGGGAGACAATGTCACAATCTAGCCCACTATTTGTAATTGAGAAAAATAAATTATTTTCCTTTAGATAGTGCAAAGTGTAAAGCAGAGACAGGCTGAATGCAGTTTCATGGAGCCTTGTCCCACAGCAAGAAGATCTAGACAGGAGTGTCCCGTTCGGATCTTATTGCATTAACCCCCGTCCAGCAGAGGTTTATTGTATTAGGGGTTTATCCCGCAGCTGTGTTCTACTGATCACATAGGTCGCTCACAGTAACATGTTGACTTACCCTATGTGTTACCGAACATCTTTGGACATTTGGTATTGTCCACTTCGGGGTATTTACTATTAGGCTATTGGTATTATTTTGATGAGGACAAATTATCTCTCTTATGACTTTATCTCTGTTTCCCCATTTATTAACGGGTTGTTACTCACATAACTATTGGTTACTTTGTAGAACTTTGTACTAGTGGAAACTTTGTTTTAATTGTGTATTGAAGATGCTTAGGGTCCTATACACACACATCAGATAATTATCCTCCAGATCCCTGTATTACCCTGGACACATTTTGATCCCTTCCACTTTCTAAGTATCCAGTTGATGATCTTTGGATTATGGTAGACATTTGGGAGATAAGCCACTTTGTACCAATCCAAGCATCCAGTAAAG